TTTCCTTAGTGAATGACCCGAATGAACCGCCTTTCCGCATTTTGCAATCGGCGACAGAAGCAAATGCGCACGCGACTTGCGCACCACGGTTTGCCATCAACATGATTCCTAAAGATATCGTCGATCTATCGGATGGACGGTCTGTGGCCGAGTTTGCAGAAGAATTTGAGAGAGCCATGGTGCTTGCCGAAGCACAGCAGCAAGAGGAATCCAGTGAGGAGGAAAAATAGTTTATTCGCTTTTTGTTTTAGCCGGAAGCCATGGCAGCGGGTGCTTGTTATACATGGGCCAGGGCGGCAGCACAACCTATAAAATGCATGTATCAATACTTTTCTCTATAAAATATCTAAGTGTATCAAATGTATATTTTTCGTACCAGAGCAGCCAAGACAGTCGCACCCGCAAAGATGGTCAGCGTGGTCTGAAGGGATTGGGTCGCGAAGCCCGCCACAAAAGCAATGACCTAACATACATTTGTTCATTAGTGGTCTTCATCCCTAGTACGGGCCGTTTGCATGGGACGCGTTTTGTTGGATGAACCTACCGAAGCGGCAGTCATGATACCGTGCGTCGCATAGTCTGCGAGTTTTTGGCCCTCAAAGTCCTAATCTGCATGAGTATACCGTAAAGAGGGAAAGAGAAATAGTAGATTACGTACGATGGTCCACTCTAAGTAATCTGCTATCGCCATTTGTATAAAGACAACAAGAAAGACGCCGTGCTCAGGGGAAACCAACGAAGCAATCGAACTCAACCACGCATTAACAAAATCGTAGGCGGAGCCTAACCATTTTCTATAGCAGCAAACCGCTGCTTCCGCTCGTATTCTTTCAGTCCTTCCACCTTCCAACACGCAGAAAAAGGCACATTAAAGACTGCATCCCATCCTATTCTTTACAAGTGAAGGTATTTTTAAATGGAAATTAAAAATGCCAAAGGAGTATCACTAAAAGATGAGCACAATTGGCTTAGGAACAATATCTCGGATAAACATATTATGTAATAAACATGCTCTACGTACAATAGTTGCACCTCATGCCTTGCGTGTACCTTTCTGTTATTCGTCAGATCGAAAATGACATGCACGAATTGTCTTGTTGTAACAGAAAATGAGCGAAAAAAACGAAGAAGTCGGTTGAAATATATAAGTCATGCTCAACTAGGTAACGTGTTCGAAGATCAGCAAGGTAACTGGAGAGAACGAATACATACAAAGGAAACCAATCGCACGCTGGAGAGAGCCAGATGATTAAGTTAAGAGCTCTTATCGAAGCATGAGCATAGAAAATACATACATTGCTGCCAGTGCCCGCTCGGTAAATCGACATTTCGATCTTAGTTGCGTATGGCTTATCCACCTAGCCGGTTTTCTGCAACATTTACTTGAGACGTACATTCGTCGCCAAAGAAGTGATCGAGCTACACAAATTGGACCGTCGCCGGGGGACACGCTGTACAGTAAGCATAACTATGCTATATGTATATTAGCAGTAGACTACCCTGATTTCCTGCGGAGGTGAAGACATGTTGATACTATCGTCTCACATTCAAATATATCACGTGGTTCGGACAGAGACACGCACGAAAAAAGGAATACTGTGGCAAGTAACGAGCTCGTCCCATACTAATCCGCATAAATGAAGTCTCTCGTTATTCCATAAACGAGGTGAATGATAACGACCTGGGGTTACTCGGTGCTCGATATCTAATGATTAACAAACCAGACAATCGTCGATACTACGAGAACCCTGCCGTCGAGAAGTCACTGACACCAGCTGCGCCAAAAAAAAAGAAAAAAAAAGGCCTTCGAAATATTCATGGAACTTTCTATGAACGGGGAAGCGAACCCAAGCATTAAAGTACGGAGAAAACGGCTCCGGTGCGTAGCCCCCCGCGGTATTACCTTTTATAGATCATAAAACATTATCGTAATGACACTCTTGAATTCGTTTTCCTTTTTAAATGCAAAGCGCACTGTCTTGTCCAGATTTTTGCTCCAGTTCCACGCCCTCACTGAACAAATGGAAGAATACAAACACAGTCTTATCACAAAATCATTCGATCAGCTTGATCATTTGAAGGACCTCCTAGCGACCTTGACCGATCGTGTCAAGGACAGATTGCCTGAAGGTGAATATCCGGCCTCCAAAGATGTGGTCAAGGTCGTTGCAGCAGGTGTGGCAGGATACGTTGTCATTTCTGTAAGTACGCATAACATGAATGAAAAAAAAAAAATGCAAGGTAAATTATGTTGACATATTTTGTTAGAAATTGTACACGGCCTACTTTGGTCCCTTGGCTTCTCTGCCCGGTCCGACGCTCCTCAAGTTTGTTCCTTACCGCTGGGTTGTCAGCGATAAGCCCCAGGGCACCTCGTAAGTTACTGACGGCAGTGCAAGCAATTCGTCATCTCAACATTCATCTTTGCTTAGCTATAAGCCCGTTCAGCAATGGTACAGACAGTATGGCACCGTGTACCGATTGGGTCCCAACAGCATTGCAGTTTCCGACAAGGAGATGATCAAAGAAGCACTCGTCACCGACGTGATACCGAAGGGCCCTGGCTATGAAAAGCTGCGAAGTAAGTCATACTAGCGTTGAGAAATAATGTAATATGTGCTTATGCGTAGAACAGATGAAAGCGCCAATATGTTCAATATGACAAATCCCCACGAACACAAGCAGCGCAGACGCGTCCTGTCACCCGCGTTTTCCGTAAAGTACCTTAACTCCCTTGAACCTTACATGGTTTCCACCACCGAAGCCCTCTTGCAGCGAATCGACAGTGATATCAAAGCGACCAAACAAGCTGATGGTTATGGTACGACTGATATCTGGGTCCTCTTGCAATGCCTTGCCCTGGATGTCATTGGTGAAACGGCCTTTGGCAGCACGTTTCATATGCTTGAAAATAGCCAACATTTCGTCCCGCTCACAATCTCAAAACTGATGAAGTACTCAAGCTTTGTAAGCTTTTTGCCAAATGGTCAACCACTTTACTCACACACTCGTCCGCTCTTGTAATCAATAGTTGGTCACTCATCCTTTCATCGGCGCTCTTCGTACAGCCTTTTCCGTGTCTCAATCTCTCACCCAGATCCGCCGCCTCGGTGAAGTAGGTGATTCCTATATTTTCAATAATTCCATGCTTAACTATCCCACTTAGTTCATGACCCAAATCATTCAAGCCCGTATCGATGCAGGCGAAGCAGGCCGCCGAGACGATATCCTGCAAATTTTGATCGACTCACAGAAAGCCCTTGACAAGGACGACCGTCTGTCCATCCCAGCTATTGCAAATGAGACAATCCTTTTCCTTGTCGCAGGATCCGAGACCACGAGCAATACGACTGGTTTCGCCTTCATTCGGTTGCTGGAGAAACCAGATCAGCTCGCGAAACTGCGCGCCGAAATTGATGCGGTACCCCTGGAACCAGGCCAGAATGTATTCAGACATGAGCAGCTCAAGGAACTGCCGTATCTGAATGCAGTGATCCACGAAACTTTGCGTATTGATTCTATTGCTACGGACGGTCTAGAGCGCCGCTTGGCTAAGGATACCGTCTTGGGAGGACGCGTCATGGTGCCTAAAGGAGTAAGTCATTCCATCTCATAGTGTCTTGTCTTTTCTTTCCTTTCGTTTTTCTTTACTAACTTGGCAGTGATAGACAATTGTCAACCTGGGAATCTACCACGCCCACATGAACCCCGAGTACTGGCCTGAGCCACTGGAGTTCTTACCTGAGCGATGGATTGATGAAGATAACAAGTTCAATGCCAAGGATAAGGACGCTTTTTATCCTTTCAGTCTGGGGTAGGTTACAAATCATCAAGAAGGTAGGTCTCGAAACTTACATAGAGAATAGACCACGCAACTGCATTGGTAAGGGCTTTGCTATGCAAGAGATGCGTCTGGCGATTGCCACCCTAGTCAAGCATTACGACTTTAAGCCTATTCCGCAGGAGCTGGAAGATGCCAAGGATAAACGACAATTCATCACGCTTCAAGTAGCAAAGAACAGTTTCAGGGCTCGCATCAAGCGCCGGGATTAGATGATAGCATTGCATATACACTGACGTTCTGACTGCGTCTCTGCTGCATAATATAGACTACATAAACGTATATCTTGGATAATACTTCAGGGATAGTTTAGAATGCCAGTTATATATGTGGGTCGTCTCATTTGCGAGATAATGGAATGGCTAGATATCTATCTCACATCTGTTCTTGTATATGCCATTTGTATATTTCGATCCTACGGTAGAGCTCGCAGATAGGCTAACAAGGATCACAGAAGGACCGTAGCCGCTCGGCCCTGGCATACTTGCAGCATTTTTCTCATAGACGATGTTCGAGTTGTATGTGCGGCCAAGACGCAGCATTCATGGCGTCCAGTCCCTCCCAAAATAGCCTCATGGTATGAGAGACAAAGCGAGTCATTCGAACCATCAGAGCGGCGAACAATACAAAGAAGAGCTTTGACAGGTCGAGAAGCGGGTTTCCAGCGCCAGAACACACGGAAATGACGGGTGACTATAAGGCTATGCTTCCTAAAGGCTACGGTCATAACAAAGCAACTCGCATCTCAAATGTTTCGAGACCATTTCCCAAGGAGCGCTGTTATTGAGGTCACTGAGTAAGGGTCATCTCTCGCTCCCAAGTAATTCTCGTGGAGATCCACAGAACCGAGTATCTGTTACGGGTATAAATCCGTCAGGCGGTGCAGCAAGACAAGTATGAACGATTTTGCGTGGATCGCTCAAGAATTTCGAATGTCGAAAGCTACGTGACGAGTAAAACGTCAATGTACGGACAAGCAAAAGAGTGCATGTTATGACATGAGAAATGCCGCTTGCTCATTCCACTGCCTCGTCTTGATTACTCGCAAAATGAAAGAAGAAAAATGCATATGGTGACTGAAATGATTCCCAAAATGTTACTTTCGTAATGACATCATCTTGAACTTCGATTTTCGCAAAGTGACTCTTATGTGTTTTGCTAGGTCTACCGGGACTCGAACCCGGAATCTACTGCTTAGGAGGCAGACGCCTTATCCATTAGGCCATAGACCCCTCAAAAGCATCCGGTTTCACGTAAATAAAATATTTAAAAACTAGAAGTTTATATATATATTTTCACTTAGAATTGTGTTAGTTATAAGATTTCTCCACTTTAACAAAAAAAAATAAACAACAACAATAGGTGTACATGCGGCAATAGGGACAGCTACATGGTAAGATACTGGCATTGGACAAATCTATATTACATTTATCCACTTAGTATGGTCAGAGTGGGGGGAAGAGGGAAAAAATTGGAAGGAAAAGAATAGGCACGGTGATACCAAAAAACTTGGGTTTTTGGGAGGGGATTGAAAAAAATTTGTGTGATCAGACCTGACCCTTACATCTCGGGTAAAATTTTTTCTTCCTTTCTGCCAAGATGAGGCTGTATTTTCCCAGTTCTTACCATGTTTAAACCAGCCATCCGCTTTATCTTCATCCATGCGCGCATCTTTTGGACCCACAGTCACAGCGGTAGCCAACTAAATTGGCTATGTCAATAATCGCTTTGTCTCATCAAGGTCCTTCTGCACTATGCAGCGCAGTTTCTTTGGATGACCGGGTGCAACTGAACAATGCTCGTCGAAATTGGAACCTTTCATTTGCTCAATTCGCGAAGCATAAAGAATGGGATCGGAAAATCGTCCTCGTCATGACTTGCAGCAGTCGATCTTGAGAACAACAATGAACACGTTGTTTTTGTCGCCTTTGCAACCATTTTTTGAATCAGTGGACTCTCATTTATGTGGGTGACGGACGGGTGGATCCTATCATATGCTTTCGAGAAAAAGTGAGCGGAAGCACTAGAGCAGATTTCCAAAGGAACGCAGGAAACTGTGTGTGTCGAGTAGGTCTCTCGATACCTTTCTATTTTATTAGCTCTAAGCTTGAAAACGTATTGATGATAGCCGCTGTCCTGGCGCTGTGCAGCTACCGTTTTGTTTCTTGAGTAGTGGATCCATATTCATTTGACATACCACGGCAGAGATTGTCTTGAAAGCGGCCTAGACTCGTCTCTCGCCTTGTAATATCTCGGACCGCTATATGACCATTCCGTCGATCAATCATGTGCAGCCATGGCGAAGCGTGCAAGGGCGCATTCCTACCATAAAATGACTCTTATGAAAGAGCTTGGAATAACGGCGTGGCGGCATCAATCGAATGGAAGCATAACAAGCCTATTCTCCATATGTTCGATATCGAAGGAATGACGACGAAGGACGACCTACTCAGTTCTTGAGAACCTGTATATTCGTTGCAGAATTGTCCGATAATCTCTCGCTAGCGTCAAAATCCTGGAGATTAGAAGAATATCTACCCTCGAACAGATAAAGCAACAAATGGAGCCTAGGCTGTGCCTTGATGATGCTCCCGTTCTACGGTAAAGACGATTGTTTTTCTTCCAATGCATTGCTTATTATGGTGTGAGATACGCTCATCTACACATAGTCAATGCACGAATTATCGGTTGATAATAGTGTCAATTGGTAGCGCATATAGGGTTATGGTATGTTTTATTTTGATTCAACGGCAACCGATAAATCTGATAAACGAATGATAACAGGAGTAGGAATTCCGTACCAACGTCAAATTCTGTATCCATGTACCTTGTGATATCGCGTATTATCATGCGAGTGGAGTGTATATTTGTTTATTTCGAGCATGCTGCTTATCAAAGACAAAGGTGTCCAGATCACATACGGAATAAATCTTTGGTATAATGCTAGTATGCGACGGTAACAAGAGTGGAAGAGGAGAACGAGAAAGCCAATGTTATTGCATAATTTACAAGAATGTTGGAAATGGGGGTGTGTGTTTGGATATTTGCATGTGTGAAATGCGCGGCGTACGTGTCTGTCGTGAGGCGATCAATTGAGGAACTGTTACTTGGGAGATGCTCCATCTAGCGAAGGTGAACGGGTTGAAGTTGATCCTGGAGGTGTAACGAGAGCGGATGATGCTTGATGTTGATGAGCTATCATTTTGGCCCGAGATGAGAAAAAATAAAATAAAAAATGGCACATATCACAGCGTCGAAGATTTACCCGAGGTATTATTGCGCATTTGGCCAGTAACGGCGGCTGCAATCAATTCATTGGTCATGGCGATGGCGGCTTGCTGAGCGGGTGTAGTCGTAGGCGAGACGTGTGCGACGGGACTTTTGGCGGTGGCAAAAGAGGACGCTGCGAAGGAGGGTGAGGAGGACGATGAGGAGGAGGAGGAGAGATGATGGACGGAAGTAAAGGCGGGTATAGTGTCAGTGCCTTTGAGTTGTTGAAGCAGCTCGCCCTCCTGGAGAAACGTGTATGGTATGGTGTCATCATAGCTATTTAAAAAATCAGTATAAACTAACACAGGGCTCCGTGTCTCAGTAAGTAGCTTACTCTGCTTCAATAGTTTCGGTATCTGAGTCAGTGACTTCACCGTCCGAGTCGAATTGGAAGCGGCCAGATGTGTAAGGTTGACGGCAGGTACGATCAATGTGGACACGGCCGCCGCGACCCACGCGTCGGCGAAAGAGAGTATTGCGCTTGGATGGCCATTGGGGTACAGTGGCTGTTGTGTCATCCAGAGATTGGAAAAAATGAAGCGAGAGTGGAAGGGGAAACGGTTGATAAGAGTTCTATACAATACACGTACATGTACATATCAGTCGACAGTCGACAAGCTTATTCTGAATCTGCACACGACTTTACTTACCGAGGATACATCTTCGTACACTTTGTCCTGCTGGTGCTTGCGGGTGAGCTCGGCATCAACGGCCAGAAGCATGGATGTCTTTCGCTTTTTCGCTTCACCTTGGTCCTCCCGACGCAGTTTGCCCAGAGGGATTTTGATGGTGGTGCTGTGCATACAAAAAAAAATTGTGTAAGCCATTCACATGCCTTTTTTTTTTTTTTTTTTTTTTTGGCAGTAACGTACCTTGGTCCCTCGGATTTGCGTTTTTTCGCAGGTGGTGTAGGTGGTGGCGGGTAGAGAGCGTCATCATCCTGGATACCGAGCCGGAGCTGGTATTCGCGCAGCTCGCAGCGTTTATCGAAAATCAGTCTACCCTGTATCAAGGCTTCCTTGCGCATCTTTTCGCGACGCAGCACCATCTCGAGCAGATTTCGTGCCGATTCCATCTCGGTACGCAGTCGTCGCAGGCGTTCGAGCGACTGCTGATCCGCGCGACGTGTTTTCCGCACCGGTTTGGTTTCGCGTCGTCGAAAGCAGGTGTACGAGTCAACCTTGTTCTTGATCGGCTCTTCAAATTGGAGGGTGGGCAGGATCGGTTTGCCTTGGCGTTCGATGCGCCGCTCGCGCCAGTGAGCAAATACGGCTTGGGCTTGCTTCAGTCGGGCACGCAACGGGGCATCTTTGGGAAGGTAAACCAAGAGGTCATCCAGAGCGTGAGGGGTTTGCGAGGCATCCTACATATCCGTAAGCCAATGCAACAGAGAAAACTTTATATTGACGATAGGGCACTTGCCAGATATAAATGAGGCATGTGCGTATTGGTGATGGTTTCGAATTTGTCCATAATATCTTCGAGGAGGGACTCTGAGAGTCGGAGGTCGGGGGAATCCTTTTCGGCATTATGACGGGCCAGGAACGCTTCATCCTGTTCATCAATCACATAATGGCAGCCGCCAGTCTCCTCGACGGTGCTGGAGAAGCGGATATTATTGATGGGCGCCTTGAAAGGAGTGTATAGCAGGCGATAATCTTTTTCGGGTATCTGCTGAGATGCTTTGGGAGTGGGTATATAGCATCTTTGTTGATCATCCGCACCAGTAGTAACGGCCGCCTGAGCAGAGGACAGCGCAGCCTGCAGGTCATGCTACAAATAGTAGTAGACGGTAGATACGAATGGTATATGTGAGTGACAAATAGACGATAATAGAACACATGGCCGTGCACGTGTACCGCTCTCCAGCCCCTTCTTCTCCCTTCGCCCCTCTCTTCCGCTCTGCCTCTCCCTCCCCGTCTACTCCTGAATCATCCACTACATAAATTCAATCCTGTCTCTAACCAACGAGCCAACCAACCCAGAAAAAGAAAGGAAGACAGAGATAAGGAGAGAGATAAACAGAAAGGAATAAAACAATAAAACGAAATAAAAAATCCAAAGGAGCTGTACGCAGAGAAAAAGAGAGAGAGAGAGGAAAAGCGTGAAGAGAGAGAGAGAGAAAAGAGAGAGCGAGCGACAGCCAATCAAAACCAAGTACGTACTTCCTCCTCCTCTTCCTTCTCAACACCCGTCTCTATCTGAGGAACAGAGCGCCGTGTGTTGGCCTCGTCATGAATGTCTGGGAGCTGAGACTCCTTGAATATGGGCAGAGCGTGCTTGGCAGAAAGCTTCTTGACTCGTAACGGCGACACCATCTGTTTAGTCATGTGGGAGACGAGCAAAGCAAAAGAGAATAGTTGGGGTTTATTGATGATGTCCAAGTAGGTCTTCAGATCACTGCCAGATGAGGGGTTGTAATCTGACTGGACTTGAGGTATATTGTTTTGCCAGTTGAGTAAATGGGTTTAGACAGAGCAGTTTGCTTGCTTTTCCTTGTCCTTTTTTTTTTCCCTTTTCTTTTGTGGTTGCTGCTCCTTGTTGTCGTTTGTACAAACACTATTGTAAACGAAACCGTGATATCTGATTGGATGAGACACTGGGTTCCTTTTCATTCTTTTTGCCCATACGCGACCCCCCCTTCTGCCTCTGCCAAATTTACTCTCCCTTTCCACATTGTACTGTTATATAAAGCATAGCATATATTTCCATCCTGTACGCTGGATATGCGTTCATTCTGTCTTTTTTATAAATTTTTTAATCCTCATCATCATTATCAGAGTCCTCCACTGCGGAATCATATTCTTCCGCTACTTCGCTACCGCTCTCATCGGGTGCAAAGTCTTCATCCGCTATTTTGAAATAAAGAAAAAAAAAATCAGTACACACAACCTCACAGTCAACTTGAGTTTCATATTGAGCTTACGTGATTCAGAATCCTCGTCTTCACCCATATCCATGT